TTATTCTTAATCAATTCGGGAATCCATCCTTAACACATATGTTTGCATGAATCCGGTTCTTTAAAACTAAAACAACTTTCAAGGACTGAAAAAGAAACAAGATAAAGGATCAGAACGCGACCCTTGCTAGCAGCTCTAGGAGTTGCTTTTTTAAAAAGGATTGAACTCAGCGTGAGCTTCTTATGAATCATTTGTTTATTGAAAAATTAACATGGGTGATTTTCCTTTGTATGATCTCTTTTATTATACGTTAATCCCTTTTTTTCTTTGAAGGGGCGAAAGAGAATGAGAAAAAATCAAATTTTTTTCTTTACTTTATTCTTCAAAATAAAGAGACTCATATTTTTTTAATGTGGAACTATTCATTCTTTAAAAGAAAATAAGATGACAATTTTTTCTTCTTGTTGTTTCTTTAATACAAAATAATGTTTTAGTCAAAATATTATCACCCAAAGAAAGAGAAAAAATAGCTAGTTTTAGTTAAAGAAATAGGGAAAAGAAAATGGGTTAAAAGGGAATTAATTGGGAAAAGAAGTAATGACAATGATGAAGTCGTGAGATCAGACGGCTGAGGTTAAGGCATCAGAGTGAGTGGCAGAGACGGAGTCCCAATTAATTATCTCTCATCCTCATTGACATTCGCGTTTGATCTGGTGGTCCGCGCCGCACCAGATTGATCTAGATTCCCCTTATTTAAAATGATATATATTTAGAGTAAAATAAAAATAAATTGTGAAATACTAAGAATGGTGGGTTTATTAGCAACGAAGCGCAGAGAATGACGCGTTTGGTACTTGCTAGTGTCTCCTCCACCTTCGTCACCCAACCTTAAATAAGAAATTTTTAATTCACATTTAAACTCGGATAACATGCTTATTTTTAGGATCCTTCTTTCTTTAAAATCAGGAGTGCAAATTTAAACATACAATCAATCATAAATCACACCCTCTCTCTTATTTCACTCCATTAACTTCTTACACTTATTTTCAAATACAAACATACAATTCAAATTATAAATACTTTATAAAAGATGTATTTTTATTAAAAATCATAATTGTCAAAATAATTATTACGACATTAGACAGACGTTATAAAATTGTAATATTTTAATTGATTGATAATGTAAACATTTTTTTTGTCAAAATTAAGTTCTTACTTAAAATTCATATATAATAACAATCTAGTTTTTTAAAAAGATTATTAATGTTTTCCTGAACAATATCTTATCTATTATATGATTTCCTGCTAATCATATTTTTCTTTTCAAAAAATGAGCGTTGGCTCAAGTAAGATAGTGGCGGGAGAACATGGAGAGAGGAGAAAATTTTGGCCTAAATAGGCTACTTTATTAACTTCGACCATGGCTATGATACAGCCACCAGTGTACGAACAAGCCAAATAATTGAGGAGGTACAACATCCTTATCAAACAATGTAATCATTTTGTATTTTTTTTTCAGTTTAAATTATTGCTACTATCTTTTGTGTAAGAGATATATTGTTTTCATAATAATTTTTTTTAATAATAATAATAAAGTTTTTTAAACCTCTTTTATTTTATTGTTTGTCTTTTTTTTAAATACATATAAAAGTTGTAATAATAATACATACTCTCACCTTTTTTTTCCCTCTTGCTAGAAGATAGAGTAGCCAAACAAGAAAAAGAGTATTATTTTTTAACAAAATTCTTCTTCTTGATTTTTCTTTCTTCATTCAAAAGAACTTTATCTAAACAGAGTGTACCGAAAAACAAGAATGTATATAAAAAGAAGAAGAAAAAGAAAGGGAGAGTTTGAAACTTTTCATGCTTGAAAAAAAAACATTTTAATTCCTCTTTTAAATAGTTTTGAGGGATTACTCTAGTTTTAAAATATATTTTTTAACATTTATTTATTTTTTTGTATACAGTATCAAATTAAGTAAACTAGTGGAGCAAATCATCCAACTGAATTGGCATAATTTGAGGAAGAAAAGAAATGGACAGCATCTTTGTGTATTTACTTGAGTGTTTTCAGTACAGCCCCAGAAGAAAGAGTGGAAGGGTGGCTCACTGACAGAGGAATTAGCACCACCGTCCTTCACAAAGGTTACGGGCCAGCTCATATCGATTATCGAATCAACAACTGCACCATGTTTAACTTGTCAATAACTCTAGCACTACCAAGACTACCCGTTCTCTGGTGGAATTACTCATGCATATTACAAATCAATATGTTTCGTATTTATAAAAGAAGAGGAAAATACTAAGATCAATCAATAAAATTTAACAATTATGGACATTTTAAATGCATAAAGTTAAAACTCAGAAAATTTCTAAAACATACAACATTTTAAGGGTATTCATCATTTGAACTAATTAAATTTTTTTTTTTTTGTACTTGGATCAAATTAAGTTGACTAATTATTGTTAATCGCTATTAATTAGTTCACGTATCCTATATAATGATTATAGGTTCTTATCATTAAATTTACTTCAAAACTAGTTTTATTTTATTATTTTACTCAAATGTAGTTAGCTTGTTTGATTAAATTTGTTGAATATTGTATTCATCATTTGAACGTATTTTCAAATTCGGCACTTTTAGCACGTAAAGTTATTTATGTTTGTTTTTTGTCAATTTCCGACACTATTCCCTGGAATTATGTATGACTTCGTTAAAATACCAAACATTAATGTGTAGGTTATATGAATTATCAGTTTTTCAAGACTGTAGTCAATGAATAAAAAACAAAGCTCAAACTGTATAAATGTTATAAAAACAGTGTATTATTAGAATGAGTTTTCGTGTTCACCGATATGCTTTAAAGAAATATCATTTTCATTTTCTACAAATTTTGAAAGATTCGCACAGAAAATATTTACATCAAAGAAGATATGAAAGTGTCGCCCACGGAATTAAAATTATTGGAAGGTTCATATAGCTATTATGGTGTATAGTAGCAGTAATGGAAACACGTGAATACCTCATTGATCAATGCCTTGACAAATGTCTTAACCTGAATTGGAAAGGGAAAACAAAACTTTGCCATGCAGCAGCAGTGTACTTAAAACGACAATACTGTTAAGAATTTGCAGCGTGGTAGGCACGTTTTAAAAAAAAAAAAGGCTTAATAAACAAAAAGAACGTATGTAATGATAATGTTTTTTATTTTAAGAATGTTAGATTTAATTGTATATCTATGATATTAGAGGTGATGTTTTTATATTTAAAAAATTAATTAATTTTAAAAGCTTTATTTATTCGGTATATATATATACAAACAACTTTAACAAAAAAGTTTCTTAAACTATCTTAATCCTTACTCTTCTCCCTCCTCTCTCTCTCTGTATTATATGTATACCAACATGCATTAAAAAACTTAAACTTACTAACATCTTTCTAGTCTCTCACAGACTTGTTTTTAGGAGACATTGATTGTTTTTTATATTATACAAAAGGCATCACGTATAGCAGACGTGTTTTGCGTCTTTTCAAGATAATAAATTAGTGATAATGTAATTTGCATAGCTTTTGAATAATGTTCTATAAATTATTTGCAGGGTAGTTAACACAACTTAATTTTCAATCTATTTTTTTTTTTGACGCAATCGTGTACAGTGGAGATTAGACTACGTTTTTGCTTATCCTTTTATGCGAATCTAACTTTATTTACCTAGTTTTATGTTTGTTTCTTTGTTTTTTTTTTGTTTTTTGTTTTTGAGTTAGCCACTATTATCGCATTTCAGTCAATTAAAACTGGTTTCTGTAATAAATTGGGTTGTTTTGTACGTAGTTGAAAGAATTATTCCGAGGCTTGTAGAAATAATTAAAAATAGCTATTTTTAATTAGATATTTTTGATATTGGACACGAAACTCACAAATTATAAATCAATTTGTCTATAATTGAAGTAAAACCAAAATAATTTATCGTTTTAAGACAGAGATTAAAATTAATACACCTTTCTTTTCAACGAGAAAAAATTGCATAACAAATTAAAATTAAGATCTATTTACTACTAATAATAGGCATTATATTTTATTATGTTTGAACAATTATTTTACTCTTTTTATAAATAAACTTATTACTTTAACTTACTTTTGAAAATCACACTTGCATGCAAATTACCCTTTCAATCTCAAACTCTTAAATTTACTTATAGCAAAATCCAAAATAAACATTAATATGTAAATAATATCGTCTATCATGAAACAAAAAGAAACGAAACAAAAGTGGTTCTCCTTTGAGCTGTTAAGAGCAGACTTTAGAGTTATCATTTTTGTTTCATATTTTAGATTACGAGAAAATAAAAGAAAAAAAAAACACAAACTGAACTTTTTGTCAGATTAAAGTGGATGACATAAATCCCAATGCAAAATAAGAGAAATCAACGGGAAGGAGAGCATGAAGTGTTGGTAACACGATGCAATAGTGGCACAGCAAAACCCACCCTGAATACTCATATGGGGATATGTGGACGGAGAGAGAGAGAGGGAGTGCAGAGGAGACAAGATCATGGGATCTGCATGTTTTTATTGCAGAAGCCCTGCAAATATGGATCATGCAAATCCTCTCCCTCCAAAATGAAAACAAAAAAGCAACCTTTGCTATCCCATCCATCAATTTCCTGACATCTCAAAAGCACCCAAAATTTCGTTTATTTTTTTACTTTAGTCCTCAAATTGTGTTTGTCTCACAAATCTTATCCAACCAAGTGAATCTTAAAATAACCAATTATCTTTTGAAATTAACGTGGGCTAACATTAGCATCAGTACTAAAAGGGTAAAGCTTTGTCCCTTTGTGCCAACATGGACTCGAGCGTGCCACTGTCCCTCTCTTTGGACTTTGAAGTGCTTAAGTAAACTAATTCACCTTGACTCGGAACCAAAAGGAAAAAAAAGGTGCAAAATTAAATGAGTGTGATTAGGGAGAAAATCTTAAACTAGAATGCAAGTCACTTTCTCTCACAGAACTAATAAAGTGTGTGTTTGGGGATGTGTGCTAGTAAGGCAAAGGAATAGCAGCTATAAGGGTGATGGGGTATAGGGGGAGTGTGTCAAAGGGAAGAGGAGTATCTTTAGGAGAGGTCAGCACAGCACAGCACAGCATGCTTTACTTCCTGTGCTAAACAACCTAACGTTATTTTTATGAGAGCTCAGGTTGCGTGCATTATGTTCTAATTCCGTTCCTGTTTTGCGTTCTTGGGGTGTTGGGTTGGGTTGGGTTGGGCAGGTGGAATCTCTCTGGTTTTTATCACTCTGTGTCCCTTTTTTGCCTCCTCTGAAATAACCTTCCTCTCTCCTTAAAAAGAAGAAAGAGAGAGAAAGCAGGAGGAGAGAGAAGTAGAGAACCCACTAAGCGTGCAAATAAAAGACTTAAAGCAAAGCTAGATTGCAATCCCATGCTATTATAGCTCCCTCTCTACCTTTGCTTTTGGGGTGTTTTTTTTTTCCTTTCTCTTGGTGGGGTTTCTGTTGAGCTGTGATCATATTTCTGCTACCTTAGCCCATTCAACGTTTTCTAGTGGACAAGATATTTAAGGTTTTATTGTAGGTTCTTTTAGCTGTTGCCTCAGAGTCTCATATATTAAAGGTTGAACCTTGTTGCGAAGAAGCTGTTATTTTTCACAACTACAACATGTGGTGGTACTTCGTGGATTTAAGCTGTGGTTAGTTAGACCTGTAAGGATACTTCTCTAATACCAAGCCTATATATACTACATATCATTTAGTGTCTATTTTTTTTTTCTCTGTTGTAAGCTTTTGAAACAAGACACTTGTTTTTCACTTCTTGTTTCTAACTAGTGTTTTTTGATGCATGAAGCAGTGAAGTTTCTCGAATTTGTTTCTTGCATATATTTGGTGAGTAAAAGGAAGAGCAAGGGGGAGTTTTTCCATTTGAGTTGTGTGCAACAGTGTGGTTTAAGGGATGGATGAAAGGTCAAGAAACGAGGTATCTCCTCAGCTGTTGGATTTGATCTCAAACGAGAGAGAGTGGCACAAGAGCAGAGAAGAAGGAAAGTGTTCAGAGGAGAGGAAGCTTGAGCTGAGGCTTGGTCCACCTGGTGGTGAGGACTGGTCTCACAGTGGAAAGATGAAGAACAGCAACACAGAAAGAGAAGAGTCTCTACTCTCTCTTGGTTGCTTCTCTTCTACCATGTCTCATGCAATACTGAGTGCTAACAATGGGTTCCAAAGCAAGGACACCCCAACTGGGCCTGGTGCTATGTTACCATCTCCATGGCCACCTTCCACAGGCTATAACAACAAAGGTTCAACATTTCTTCAGTTCCCATCAACCCCACCTGTGATGGGAAAGGAAGGGTCACAGGCCTGTTGCCCTAAGGTGGTAGAGTTGCAGAATGGTGACAACAAAGTGTTTTCTCCCTCTTCTGCAAATACAGCTGTGTCCCAGCCCAACACCTCTCAGAAAAGGTACTCCACCTTTTCTATCTTGTATCTATGTTTTGTAACTTTTGGACAGAGGATATTCATTTCCAGAGTCACGTTGTTTCATATTTTTTTCTTGTGTGGTCCATGTACCGTATATGATAGATCTAGTGTTTCACAAACCCGTGTTGCACTATCAAGTTTTCCATTATTAATTGCAATTTATTATGTGCTTTCTATAACCTTGCATAGGCAATCCTCGTCCGCAGAAAAAAAAAGAATTGGTAAATTTTAAGCTTTGATCTCCCTCCTTGTACTATGTACTGGCTGTTTTTGTTCTGTTATACTTACTTGCCATGTTTGCTTCAGAGATGTCTACATCGATTTTTTGATGCTATCTGTCATTTATTATGTGCCTTCGTTATCTTCCTTGAGGTTTGACATTGGCATGTGAATATCTGACCCTGTCTCTATTCCTCTCCCCCCCCCCTTCTCTCTTCTCTTGTCTCTGGGTTTTAAATTTCTTTGGTCCCTCGTGGGAAAGGCTATTGATTTAAATGAAAAAAAAAAAGAAATATACGTACAATTACTAAATATGTGAATTTGATAAGTAATTTGCAGGGTTGTGTTAGTGTATTATGCTCTTTACCCTCACCGAATCTTTTCTTTTTTAACTTTTAGCCTGGTTCTTTGCTAGTTTCACTGTTCACTTTCATGCCCAACTTAACTTTCTTTGTGGTCCCACACAACACAGAACTGCTCCTGCACCAGTGGTGGGTTGGCCTCCAATTCGCTCTTTCAGGAAGAACCTTGCAAGCAGCAGCAGTGCTTCTAAGGCACCACCTGAGTCACAGCATGAGCAGCATAACAAGGTTGCAGGTAAAAAACCTGTTGACAATTATGGTAAAGGTTTGTTTGTCAAGATCAACATGGATGGAGTACCAATAGGGAGAAAAGTGGACCTCAATGCTTACGACAGCTATGAAAGCCTCTCTTCTGCTGTGGATGAGCTATTCAGAGGCCTTCTTGCAGGTAATTTTTGTTGACACACTAATTCAATGATTGTGCTCGTGGTCAATTTAATCACAGTTGTTTATTCTCTTAATAGTTGAGATAAATCTTCCCAGTGTGGAAATTTGTTTCCTTTTGAGGGATAGCTACCTAAATAGTAAACATGTTTTTTATGTCTAGCTATGTATGTACTTGGGGTTGGGGCTACTTTAATTCAACATTGAATGCTTATGGTCAATCTTTTTCACCAAACATGTTTTTTAAAGCAACGTTTTTAATTGGCCCTTTAGACCATTTTGCTTTCAAATTTGTCTTTCCACGTTATAGTTCACTTTCCAGACCTTGAGAAAGAAGCTTGATGAAGTTATCTCATTTTGTCTTTTTTCACTGGTGTTCAGCTCAAAGAGATTCCTCTGCTGGAGGAGTTCACAACAAGGAGGAAGAGAAAGCGATTACTGGTTTATTGGATGGAAGTGGGGAGTATACTCTTGTTTATGAGGATAATGAAGGAGACAGGATGCTGGTTGGGGATGTGCCATGGCAGTAAGCATCATATCACTGTCCATCTTATGTACTATCATTTTTATTTATTCTATTCTATAGTATATTATATTCTACCACTTGATGCGTCACGACCAATGCCCAATTAACATTTTTCTCTCAAAACTGTAATAGCAATTAGTTAGATTCCATGTGCTTAACAATTACTATATATTTATATCAAACAATCTTTTTGCCAATTGTTATGAATAAATCCGAAGCGCTACGTGCCGTGGCATGTCTGTTTTTTCACATGAAAACACCTGTACGACTGTCCCCTCTTAAAAATACAAATAATTAAAAATAACTCTTGCAATTGGCTTTTGCCTTTGGTATTTTTTTTATGATTTAGTTATTGCTAGAAAACAATGATTGGCGGCAAAGATAATTATTATATGGTTTTTTTTTTTAATGTCTACGTATGCTTGGCAGGATGTTCGTATCAACAGTGAAGAGGCTGCGGGTGTTGAAGAGTTCTGAGCTTTCTGCTTTTACCCGTGAGTTGGAATCTCATGATTTAATTTGGAATAGCTGGTTCGTTGTTTTTTCCTTTGTTGTGATTATTAATTTTAAGAAATGTTAAATTGTTTTCAGTTGGCAGTAAGCAAGAGAAGATGTCACTTGGCTCCACAATGAATTGAACGGAAGTTTGAGGCTTGTTCCACAGCTGAAACTAAGACTTCTAATTGACGTTTTTGGTTCTTCTCTGAGGAAGATCATGGAATGAAACTTGTAGCTAGCATTACTACTTGAGTAATATGATGATAAATGTGTCTTTTTTTTTACTGAAGATTTGAAGTGCTTATGGGTTGTATAAATAGGGAAGGGAAAACTTCACGGATGTGTGTACTTGTGATTTACTGTTGAGTAACCATTAACTTGTTTTGGTTTGTATTTTGAAGAAGTCCCTTTTGTAGGTGGGAGTGGTTCCATTTCTTAATAATTTTCAAATCATGTTAAAGCGCCAAATTCTGATACTGGAAGTTCTTTCAACAAGATTTAGACACTTAAGTCTTTTTTGTTTTTGCAAAAGTGACGTACACGTAGTTCCTTTTATGCCCAGGCGTGACTTCCTCCCAACTCACTAATTCACGTCAAACAAATGTCAAAATGCAGATGACAGTGCCCTATTCAAGCAACAACCAGTAATTGTTTTTTGTGATGATAAAAAAGGTACATGATTTGTTTTGCAATTAAACAACCAACCCACCACTTGTTCAATTGCAATTTAAGGTAGGCTGTAATCCCCAAGATGCTGCTTCCTTTCAAAGCATGTCTGAATTTTTTAAAATTTATTGATTTTAAAATAAACCTTCTAGTTAAGGAATAGTTGTCAAGTTGCTTTGGTAATGCGAGAGAAGAGGTAGATATAATAAACCATAGTTGCGTCCATTATATTGGGCTCAGGACAGTGAGGTTTGGATTATAGTTGTTGGAGGTGTGAACACTCCTTCGAAGTAGGTAAAATGTCTTACATGAACAAATCAAAGGGCAATACTAAGAATAGTGATACCATAAAGGGAGAGTGAAGAAGCATTGCATCTATGACTATGGCCATAAGTAGAAATGCGTTAATAGAAAGCGATTTAGAGAGAATTTAATGGTCGTTGTCGTTGGGAGGTGCCTAACTTGGATAATTGCCCAAAGTCTTACTCTTATATCAATGTATGTGGGTAATCTCTTCCGCTCAAGGGGACAAATGGACCAATACATTCTTCAATTTTACGTAAATCAGGTGTATATTTGAGCCAATGTTGTCCATAGCTTTTATTCTACTTTCTCTTTTTCAAAAATAGTTTTTGTAAAATTTTGGAGGACAACTTTTGTTGTTGCTTTTACTTTTAAGTGTTTTTTTTTAATTGTGTGTTGAATATTACATACAAGAATGTTGTTCTTTTTTGGGTGTATTATTGTTCCAAGCTTCAAAAGGGAATTGGTCTTCACACACATGCTGGAACCCAGTTATGGACCTAAACGAGATTTAGGGCTTATTATGAATTGGATCATTGCTAGCCCAACTTAACAGTCAATAGCTCATGGTCATTACTTCTCGCCCCAACAATTCTTTTTAAAAAAATGATGGGATATGACCCTCACGTACTGGACTCATGGATGAAAGATCGTTAACTTAAAGGAAAAAAAGGCTACGTCCCAGAGAAGAGGAGATGATGGAAAGGGTAGGTCATTTTTACAGTTTATATTAATCAAGAAAGACTAACAGTATTTTTATTTCATTAATGACAAGGGGACGTTAGTGTAATATATCTCCAATCAAGAATTCAGATATAATTTTCAAATCAAGGAGAGTTTAAATGCATTTATTGTTAATTTTTTAAAAAAGATTAATGTAATTTTTCTTTTTTTGTAATTTTAATTATAACTTGTCAAGTTGATATAACCACATATCCACAACTTGTCCTAAACTTGAGTAATAATGATATCGTCGCATCGTATTTATCAAAGAGAAATGTTAATCTTACAGTAAAAGATTTTTTTTATATATTAAAAAAAGATCAAAAAGTGATTAAACGGGTAATGTAATAAAGAAAGATAAAAATATTGTAAGAATAATACAACTCTTTATTGTATACTCATTTATATTTATTTCTTTTACATTTCTCTCATTTTTATATTTCATCATTTACCACACTTCTAACTTTATTTTTATTTGCGTTTCATCTCTTCCTTCTTCACATTCATGTAACATTCCTTGCTTGCTTGAGTGTGAAAATTTTATTCATTATCAATTAAGAAGGAAGAGAAAAATAAAAAATCCTATTGTATCACTAATTTTTTTTTCAAATTTAAACCCCATATATTGGCTCGACTTAGAAAAAAATTTGTGTAAAAATGTTATTTCATAACCTTGAGCTGTTTCTCTCATATGTCTCCAACTCTATAAAAGCTCTATCTTGGGATCCATGACTTGTCTATGCCCTGAAAGGTAGAGTACTTCATGAACGCAGGGATAGAGTGAGAAAGTTTTACTCTTGTTTTTATTGTTCGGTTTACAATTTGTCAATATATTAATGCGTTAATTAAGAACATTATATTTTAATAAATAAAACATAAATATGTGTAGATAAATGACAAGGAGTGCGTATATAAAGAAGGTTTTATGACCAAAATAATAACAGTTTGAATGTTTCTAACATCAAAAGCAAAAAATCTAACACGGAAATTATGAGATAAAAGAGAACAGCACATTCTAGTTTGAAGAAGGGTGTTTGTAGGATGACGGTGGCTCAGCACAAACTCAACTCACACCTTCATTATTTTGCGTTTTCCTCTTCCAGGACCTTCTTGTGCTTCCTTGTGTGCTCTAAATTGCTTGACAAAGCATTATAGGCTTGCCCAGTTAAAACACTTAAGCAGTTTGAATCATGCGCACAAAACAGTTTGAAGTCATGAAATCGCGCTTGAGGCTGCAACCTAGCTTGAACTGAAATTTTGTACTAACATGTTTATCAATTTTGAAATAAAATCAATAGTGCGTGTGTTTAGATTCTAGTTTACGAATCATAATTTGGGAGATGGAAAAACAATCATTTTTATTTCTTTTTCTATTAACCACATAATTTGAGACTTAAAAATCATATTCAAACACAATTCATTTATAGATACATGATTTTACCCAATATACTCCATATTTTCTAAAGTAAGTCTTAAATTATGCAAATTATAACTCATATATAAACTTTATGCTTAATCTTAAAACTAATCAAATGTTTCTTTATTGCAAAACAATGTCTGCACATATAGTAAAAAATATCTTGATAATTTTGCATTAATTGTTGTCTGACTATATTTATATACTTTTGATACACACTCTTCATATATTCAAATAAATATCATCACTTTTATCAAACTCCCAATTAAAGTAATTGTGAAATCGTAGTTGACGTACGAATACTCTTCTGGTATGGCACTACTTATTTTTTGGGAGTATTGAGTTTGTTTATCCCCACGAGTACTTTCGTAAGAGCTAAAACTTCAACAGTAAACTTATTTTACCACTAAATTTCAACTTACCAATTTAAATATTGCATTACGTGGTGCATGGATATTGTATAGAGTAGCACGACTACGTAACTACGTAGTAAGTAAACAACGCACTAGGTTGAGGAAGTAATTAACTATGATAATCACAATCATAAATGTGATATTAAAGCCATAGAAGTCGTGCAAGATTTGAGACGAAGAAGGACTAGATATGCTATTACAACTTAAAAACTAAAGATCAGTTAAAAAATGATCCTTTTCATGGAATTGCACGTGCGTTAGAGGCAGAAAGAAAATGTGTCTTATAATTTCGAAAAAGCATATTACACTCTTTGCATTACCATATGAATTAACTTTATTACGCATGAAAACTTTCTTTTCAGTTATGAAATTCTTGAATTATTTAGATCTATTAAAAAATTATTAATGACATTACGTACGTCATACACATGTCAACACTGCGGATAAGTCACATTACAATATCCTACAATATTCACAGAAAATGTTCAGTCTTCAATCTTTATTTCGTTTCCTTTTAATTAATTTCATTAGCATAAACTGAACTCATAAATTCCAGCTTACTATGATATATGCCCAAGCGTCATTTTAACTTAGAAATCAGCAATATCTACGGTTCAATTTTAATTTCGGAATTCCCTTCTACACCATTATGCAGTAGTGACCTATCACAAAGTACAGAAAAGGAAATATTTGATCGCCAAAAAAGCTTGAAAATGAAGGAAACCTTGATAATCCTTGATACTGATAATATCTTAATCTGATTATTTTTACTAGCGAAAGTGCTAATCAATGTTTTCAAGATCTCATTATTCATGCGAAAATTCAAGCGCTCTAAACTGAGAGAAGCATGTTGCAAACAAAGCAGCTAGGATGAAATTAATCATTCTTACCGCAAATAATTAAACCAATACATTTGTAATCTCTCTCATATTGCCCAAATCCTTATATTTTAAACAAAATAAGCAAGAAATTAATTTAGGTGTATAAGAGCATTTTACATAGATCAATTTTAGAAAGAAAAGATCCCTTCACAAGATTCACATCAACAAATTAACATTAAAAATAAATAAAAAAATACGTTCTACTGAATTAGCAGTCCGCGACAAATAAAACCCAAATATCATAAAAGGACAAACATATTATGCACCCAGAAAAGGTGAAAAACATGAAAAGAAAGCAATTATACAGCTGATTCCATCCTAATTAATAGCTAGCCTCTACCTATTGTAAAGTGAACTCTGCATAGACTTCAATGTCCTTCTAATTAAATTCTATTTAAACAACATGTTTCTCAGAAATGTTTTGAAGACAAATAACTAATAACTAACTAGCTACGGGAAAGAAACAACCACATCAATTCCTAGATGTTTCCGAAAAAGTGGAACAAAAAATAGGTACTAATTTAGTATAGGCTTCATCAATAACTTGCCTGGCTTCTGCCTGTGTGCCGTATGTGTAGACGACAGTATGAACAAGAGAAATCATGGAGTCATCACCTTCAACTTGTGTTCTGTCATCTCAGGAGTTGGATCCACCTTATCAGGCGGATAGTTTTAGCAAGAAAAGGCTCTGAAGCCATGAGATATATATATGGAGAAGAGGCTTTTAGATTATTGAGGGGGAAAAAGTCAAGTAATTAATGGGGCTTGGGAAAATAAGGGTGATATATTGTAGTTGTATATATATATATATATATGAATAATGATAATGGATCACCCATTTGAAACTTTTGTTCTTTGACCCAACCCTTCTTATA